ATATATATGATCTCCATATATATAGATAGATATGATCTCCGTATATATCTAGATATGAGATCACTCTCTGTATATATATAGATACGTATATATAGATACGATCTCTTTAGGGGTGTGTGTGTGTGTGTATATATATATATATAAAATCTCTGTGTATATATATGATCTCTGCATGTATATAAATATGCATATACATACTCATGGGTGGTGCAAGTAGTTAAGTGTCTGTCTACTATCCACAAGATTGCAGGTTTGAACCCAAAGGTGCCTTCTAAGACAGGTCTGGTGGTCTTCTTTCTAAAAGTAACAGCCTTCTAACAGTTCCAGTCTGTACACGTGGTGTTCTTAGGAGAGGGTGAGCTACGGGTACCAAGCCGTCCAATTAGATGATACGTAACAACAACAATGAAGAGAAGTAAAGTCCTGGTGCATGACACAACACGGACGAACCTTGAAAACATTACGGTGACAAGAGGACAAATACTGCATCATCTCACCTCACACCAAACAGGCAAACACATGGAAACCAAACAAAGGGGGTGAGGATGGAAGTAGGTAGAAAGGGGGATGCTTTTGTGCAGAACATTGAGCTGATGTTCTCAGTGACAGAATGATTTGAAAAAAGTTGGGAAGAATGGGTGCACGACTTCAAGAGTGTAACCAATGCCACGTCAAACCTGGCGAGGTGTCTTCTGCTTATTATGTTAATTTCAACACACACACACACACACACACACACACACACACACACACGTGCCCATGCACTAGACATGAACTAGCAGAACCAGCAGACATTCCCCAAAGAACCAGGTAGATGGTACAGTTAAGTGTTTTTCTTCAAAAGACATTATTCTCTACTCACTCCTGGCCACCTCCCTCCCAGCTTCCCGTCCCTCTTCCTGCTGTCACATGACGCCAACATCCAAAAAGGAAACCTTGCTGCCCGAGCAGGTGATGATCAAGCCTACCATAGCTCCTGTAGCTGACAGTCCGGGCTCTTGAGGGCTTCACATAACGTTGCCACTCCTCGGTCAAGCAGGACGTTGAAGCTCAGACTCAGAAAGGTCAAGGATTTACTTTGCAACAGAGCTTCGGAGATGTAGCCACAGGGGATGTAGGACAGACAACAGTAATTCAATCTGTGAGAAGAAGCACACATACGTGCACAGGCAGCGTCAGTATACGTAACTTTCAAATATTGATGTGGCACCAAGCCGCGTGAGAACGTTTTAGAAGGATTCCTTATCATCTGCTGGCCCAGACGCCTCCTCCCGCCAGAGAGAGATTAAACCTTCTAGCAGCTGCACAAACACAGAATCAGGAATGTGGAATGTATTAAATTCTTGACTCCAGTTTCAACCGTCCAGCAACTGGGTGACTTTGGACAAGATTATACAGCTTATGACATTGTGTATTGATTGCTTAATGGGATGCACTGGGCAATAATACATTTTTCAAAGGCAGTTATTTTAACATTTAAATTTAAAGTAAATTGTGTTTTAAAATGTTGTTGTTATGTGCTGTTGAGTGGCCTGAGACTCAAAGAATCCCTATGTACAACAACCCTAAAACCTGCTCTGTCCTGTTCCAATCTCATTATCTCTGATAAACCTGCCCCCATTACCCCAGTCAATTGTTGTTATGTGCCGTCGAGTCGCTGGTGATTCATAGTGACCATATGTACAACAGCCCTAAACTCTGCTCTACTCTGTGTCAATAGCACGGTCTCCGACACGCCCAACCCGATTACCGCAGTCACGGAATCAATCCATCTCATAGAGGGTCTTCCTCTCCTAGGCTGTCCCTCCACCCTCCCAAGCATGACATACCTCTCCAAGGACCTGTCCCTCCTTACAACATGTCCAAAGTTTGTCAGACGGAGCTTCAGAAACCTTGCCTCCAAGAAGCTACCCGGTTTAACCCTCTCCAGGGTGAATCTGTTTGTTTTCTTAGCAGTCCATGGTACTCTCAATACTCTTCTCCAGCACCACAGCTCAAAGGTATCAATTCTTCTATCCTGTCCAACTCTCTAATGCTTAACAAGTGATTGCAAAGACCATGGGCTGTATCAGACACACCTTAGTCTCCAGAGTGCTCTTCAGTGCTTTGGAGAGGTCTCTAACTTCCCCATCATGATACATCTTCTAATTTCCTGGCTGTGGGTGTTGACTGTGGAGCCAAGCAAACTAAAGCTGTGAACAATCTCAATCTCTTCCCCATCCATCCTGATGCTGCCAACTGGTCTAGCGGTGAGAATCTTTGTCTTCTTGACATTGAGCTTCAATCCATACTGAAGGCTGCAGTCCTTGACCCTCTGCAGCAAGTGCTTCAGGTCCTCCTCAGTTTCAGCAAGCAGGGTTGTGAAAACTCTGATCTCAGTTCTACTCTAACATCCATGATTTAAGTAGTCAGGAGTCATTGAACTAACGACAACTTCAAAGTTCGTCCGTTCAAACACTCATGACTACTTCGTGTATGTTAGGGTAGAACTGAGATCATGGAGTTTTCAGCAGATGCTTGACTGGAAGCTGCTCCCCAGGTGCCTGTTCCACGTCACCTGGAGTTTAGTTGGCCTTGTAACTGTTTTGTTCGTCACTTGAGCATGCTAAGTCTTGTACCACCAAGGGATGCCAAAGTCCATTCAGCGATGAAATGAATTTTTGTTTGCTCCTCATCGCCAAACTGGCAAAGTATAAGAGACAAATGAAAAAGTAGCAAAAAGACAGAATACTGTGAGGTGCTGTCAACTCAGAGCCAAGTCATAATATCCTGATGTATAACACAATGAAACGTGGCCCGATCCACAGCCGACTTCACGAGCTCTCCTGGCATCAAGCCCACTGTGGCAATCAGGGCGTCAGTGCGGCTCGGTGAGAGTTTTCTTCTCGATTTTCTCAAGCACGATCTCCTTTTCTAGGGACTGGCTCCTTCTAACAACATACCCAAAGTAACTGGCACGATGTCTCCCAGTTCTCATCATGCTGTTGTTAAGTGCTGCTGAGTCGTAGAAAACTCAGCGACCCTTTGAACCAAAGACCTGACCACTCGTCTAACTTTGATCGTTTCTCCACATTCACAAGAGTTTCCGGAGGTGAGTTATTTCAGAAGTGGAGGCTCACCTTAAACTCCAAAATATTGCACATGGAATTCCACGTTTCTAACGAGAAGAAGGAATCCTTGAGTGGTGGCGAGTGGCTAACGTGACCAACTGCTTAACATAAGTTGGCAGTTTGAGTACATCCAGAAGCTTCTATCAAGAGAGGGCTGGGGATACACTTCAGAATATCAGTCAATAAACCCTTATGATTCTAGTGGTCCTGTCAGCAAACGATCATGGGGGTGGCTTAAGATAAAGACGTCTTCGGTTCTGCTGTGACGTGAGTCACTGTAAACTAGAGCTTGATGTAACAGATGCTAACAACAATGATTAGAGGTCTCCTACAAACGTCACGGCACGTCTATGGAGTGAAGTACGTGCGATGGCTCCGTTTTCTGGATTCGGCAGCTGAGGCACATAGAGATGGCCCCGTTCTGCCCGACTAGAGAGCCTGTGTCTTGCGTTGTTTTTTGCTGTCTTCCACAGAGAGCACCGGCTGGTCTTTTATGGGTGGATCTGCGGACACACTTACATTTTCTACCTCGGTGCAGACGTTTCCCCAGCCGACTTACAGCAGGATCTCCAGGGCACACTCGGGATGCTTCAGACCGTTACACAGCAGCCGGATGCCTTCGTCGTTCAGGGGGTTCTCCAGAAGGCTCAGATGCTTCAGTTTGTTATTGCAGATGAGGGCAGCGACGAGATCTTCACACGCGTCCTGTGTAATGTTGCAATTTCCCAACCTACACAGGACAGACGTATATAATGTGAGATTGGATGTCAAGCTTTCGAGGGCTTATGCAGGGCTGGTTACCACACTTCAAATTCTGTATCCACTTTACATTCTAGACCTTTTTATGGGTCTATTTTTAACATAATAAAACACATACACACACATATAAACACTTCGTACAGGAGTGGAGGGAAGAACTGGGGAATATAAGGTAAGGTGTTTAATAATGCAAAGTCAGTCATTGACTGGCACTGTTACTGCACCCAGCTGTTTACTAAAAAGTATGCAGTTTGTGCCCCTTAAGAGGCATCTTGGGAGAAAAGCCTGGCAATGGGATTCTGGAAAATAATCCACCGACAGCGGCCTGGAGCACAGCTTGGCTCTGCACAAGGCCTTAGACGAGATTCAACAACACCTGGTAGTTAAGGGCAGTGAGGAGATACTCTTGGGAGTACTGATGGTGTCGCGGGTAGGAGCTTGCCTGGCAATCCAAGGGTTATCAGTTCCACCCCACCAGCTGCTCGATCAGAGGACGACTGAATCAGCTTCATAAAACCCTCCAATGATGTTCTACTCTGTCTGCCTTGATGAATCACTGGGAGTCACCACCGACTCAGTGACCAGATCTGTGTGTTACTTTGATTTACTGACTCTAGCTTCTCCCTCTTTCCTAGGAGATCGGGAGGTCCTGACCTCAAAGTGAGAAATAGAGTTTGACAGCTGATCTCTAAGGAAGAAAATGGACACTGGAAAGGATGTTGGGAGAAAGTGGTCCTTGGAGTGACACAAATAAGTGAGCATTCAAGTAGACGGGTAATGGCTTGTAGCTCGAACACACTCAGTTTGTCTTGCAAGAAAGGCTGGTGGTTTGTTAAAAGGTACAGCCTTGAAAATCCTCTGGGGTAACTCTGCTGTACACACACACGAGGTTGGAAAGAGGTAGAAGGGATAAGACGGCAGCTAAGAGAAACACCCGTGGAGTGCGCGCGCGCGCACACACACACACACACACACACACACACACACACACACGATACCATGGCTTACATTAGCTGCTCGATATTACATTTCGGTTGCTTGAGGGTCTCACACAGCTGCCTGACCGCAGCGTGGCAGAGTCTCGTGCCGTGCAGACTCAGGTATTTCAGACTAGGGTGATGAAGAATCGTCTTGAAGAAGTCTGCGCCATCTCCGAGACCAGACACGAAATAAAACCTGCACGCAATAAAGAAATACTGACAGTCTTGTGTTGAGGCCCAAGTATAAAGCGAAAACGGCTCTTCAGTAAGTCCACCTGCCCTGCCCCGCTGCTCTCGCCCATACTCTCTTTCTCTCAGGTTAAAACTCACCCACCTTGTGAGAAACGCATCTAGTGAGAAACACCTGGTGAACTGTGCCTGAAAATCAGCCCTTGAAAATCCTCTGGCTCTCAGTTCTATTGTGACGCACAGGAGATCACTGTTGGATCAGTTATTGTGGCAAAGTCCAAAATAATCCTGACAATTACCGAAAGCTGATGCCCACCATGGAAACAGATCTGGACTAAAAAATATCTCATGGCCTTCATATTACCTGGACTTTATTATTTTCAAGTTCTTCTCTCACCCGTCCTTACTATCATCCCCCTTCCTTTCCCTGGGAAATGTCAACCATTAATCTTTTAACTCCCAAGTAAATGTTACCTACTAACTATCACGACTTCTCCCATTTACACTGTCCAACCACGATTTTATTTTATGTATCATTATGGATGGTGAAGAGATTGAGATTGTTAATAGTTTGAGTTTGCTTGGCTCCACAATCACCACTCTCGATACCAGCATCCAGGAAATCAAAAGACAAATTGCACTGGGCAAGTCAGCTGACAGGGACCTCTCCAGAGTACTGAAGAGCAATGATGTCAGGCTAGAGACTAAGGTGCGCCTGATCCAGGCCATAGTTTTCGCACTTGTGCGCTATGCATCAGAGAGCTGGACAGTGACTAGGAATGATAGAAAGAATTGATGCCTTTGAGCTGTGGTGTTGAAGAAGAGTGTTGAATATATCATGGACTGCTAGGAGAACATGCAGGTTCATCCTAAAGAGGGTGAAACCAGGCTGCTCCTTGGAGTCAAGGATTCTGAAGCTTCGTCTGACATACTTTGGGCATGTTGCAAGGAGGAACCAGTCCTTGGAGATGGATGTCATGTTTGGGAAGGTGAAGGGACAGCACAGGAGAGGAAGACCCTCGATGAGATGGACTGATTCAGTGATTGGGGTGATGGGGGTAGGTTTGTCAGAGAGTGAGGTTGGCACAAGACCGAGCAGGGTTTAGGGCTCTTGTGCATAGGATTGCTACGAGCCTCAGGTGACTCGATGGCACATAACAACATTCCGTTGTATGGAGGCTTTGGAGGGCAAGTGGCAGAATTCTCATTGCATTCTGGCAAATCTGATTTTATTCTCACCTGCTGACCTCATGCACAGACACCACTTACGCTGCTATGACGCATTGTTCCAGCACCGCCTCCGGGACAACATGGACCAGGAAGAAAGATTCAGCGATCTACATCTGAAAACTCAAGCAAGAGCTCTTCTGTGAGTTGTGCTGGACCGACCTAGGCTTGGTCAGGGGGCCAGCAAAGAACACAAGGCTTGCTGCTTTAATCGTGCTTGAGAAAGGGAGTGACTCCCAAACCACTCAGAACAAGATGGGGTTTGCGCGTTGACGTGCTTTGGCTTTTCACCCAGAGGTTGGGAAAGCGAGGACGAGTTGTGAATTCTAAGGGTCGGAGGAAAACTTAGCAGTCCAACTTACACAATCCGCTGGAGGTCACTAAAGGGCGGAGCCATCGCTCTGGACAGAATGGCGAGCGAGTCGTTGTTGAGGCACGTGTTGATCAGCTCAAACGCTTTCAAGTTCTTGTTGTATCTGAACACCAAGCATAAGTTCCCCCAAAGGGTGATCCTGTCCGTCCTGTGGAAGGATAAAAACAATATCATTTTGCAGGGGCCTTATTCAGCCTAAGCCCTTGTCAAAATAAGCAGAATATTATTCCAAGCCCACTTAATAATGCTTCTGAGAAACCTCTACTTAGAACAGGAGGCAGTTCTCAGAAGAGAGCAAAGAAAACACTGCGTGGTTCAAAATCGGGAAGGGTGTACACTAGGGATGTGTCCTCTCTACCTTTTCAATCTATATGCAGAACAGATTATCCAGGAGGGTGGGCTCTAGGAAGAGAAATGTGGCATCAGGATTGGAGGAAGACTCATCAGCAATTTGTGTTAGACAGATGACAACTCTGTTTGCTGAAACTGAGGAGGACCTGAAGGACTTCCTGCAGAAGGACAAGGACTTCAGCCTTCAATATGGATTGAAGCTTAATAACAAGAAAACAAGGATTCTCACCACCGGGCCAATTGGTAACATTATGACAGAAGAGATTGAGACTGTTAAAGCTTTAGTTTGCTTGGCTTCACAATCACCACTCTTGGTACTAGCAACCAAGAAATCAAAAGATGAATTGTTTTGGGAAAGTCTGCTGTCAAGGGACCTTCCCAGAGTATTGAAGAGCAATGAAGTCAGTCTGGAGACTAAGGTGCGCCAGATCCAGGCCATAGTCTTCACTATTACTTGCTATGTGTCAGAAAACTAGACAGTGAGTAGGGATGACAGAAGAATTGATGCCTTTGAGCTTTGGTGCTGGAAAGAGTGTTGAATTTAATAAGAACTGCTAGGAGAACAAACAAGATCATCCTGGAGAAGATGAAGCCAGGCTGCTCCTTGGAGGCAAGGATTCTGAAGCTCCGCCTGACATACTTTAGACATGTTGCAAGGTGGGACCAGTCCTTGGAGAGGGACGTCATGCTTGGGAGGGTGGAGGGACAGCACAGGAGAGGAAGACACTCAATGAGATGGATTGACTCAGTGATTGGGGTGGTGGGGGTAAATGTTTCAGAGACAATAAGGTTGGCACAGGCTAGAGCAGGGTTCAGAGATGTTGTACATAGGGTCGCTAAGAGTCGCAAGCGACTTGACAGCACATAACAACCAACTCAAAGCAGATCACACTAGCTCTGAAGAGTTACATGTTGAGTCAGGTCGACTGAAAAAGAGGTTAAGAATGTGGCCTCAGGAAAATCCAATGCTCATTGGAATGCAATTCTGATAGAACCACCCACTGGCTAGTGACTTCGAGCAAGAGTGCCAATCTTATTTTAGGTAAGAATAAACTGGCTACTGTGGAGTCAAGGGTGACCCCCCGAGTGTCAGAGTAGAACTGTGCTCCACAGGATTTCAGGGGCTTCTTTTTGGAAGTTGCCTATCAAGTCTTTCTTCCTACGGATCTCCTAGTGGCCTTGAACTGCCAATCTTCGTCTTTTAGCGTATAACTGCTCAACTATTTAAAACACCAAGGGGCCAGGGAGAATATTTTATTGATATGAGATTAAGAATTATACTCACTTTGAGAGACTGCCAAATACAGCCAGAAATGCACAATCTGGAGAGAATAAAATTAATGACTGGGACCTTGTAACAATGAAATTCCACTGCTCATCAAAACCTTTTCTCTCAAGTGAGTAAAAAGAAAACCTACTGACTGGGGAGGGGAAGCATTTGACAATACCATTTTAGACAAAGGTCTCGTATCAAAAGTTTACAGACTCCTACAGCACCTCCATAAGAAATAGACCGACAACACTATTACAAAATGGGCAAAAGACACGGAAAGAATTCTCACAAAGGAAGATATTTGGGTGACCCACAAATAGAAGAAATGCTCAAATTCACTGGTAATAAGAGAGATGCAAATAAAAAAGCACAATGAGATACTATCTCCTGCCAGTAGCAGTGGCAAAGTTTAACAGCAAGTAATAAATGTTGGAGAGGAAGTGGAGAGATAGAAACTCATACACTGTTGGGTGAGATTGTAAAATGGCGCAACCACTCTGGAAGGCAGTAGGAGATTTGTAGACAATGTTCACAGCAGTGGTATTCACCATCGCAAGAACATGGAAACAGCCCAAATGTCCAAATAATCTAATGGACTGAGAAATTATGGTGTATTCGCATGATGGAATACTACGCAGCATGCAGGAGCCATGATTTTGAAAATCACTACCTAAATTAGGAGGGACTGGAGAGCATTACGCTAAGTGAACTAACTCTGTCATAAGGACACATAGGTATTTGTATAAATAAATTATTGTAGAAATAGATAACTAGTGAAATGTGTATGAGAATCCAAGGGGGGAGGTAGGAACATAGGGGTGTGGATCAGTGGGGTGGTGGGGTGGTGGTAATTATAGGATCACACAATTTGATGGGGGGATAGAGGGGCAGGTAAAGGAAATAGGAAAGATCTGGTGTGAAAAACAATGGATGCAAACTTTGTAAGTAAACCAGTATTTTTTAAAAAATCTTATTTTTTAAAAAAAGTATTATACTCACTTAGGAAAAAAAAAATCAAGGGCTTACTAGAGCCCCATTAAAAAGAGTTAATATTTATAACAGAACTTTAAACTCCTGTGGAAAGCAGACCTCCTGGACCCATTAAGAGTCCTCAAACGTAATGATTAGAAATAATCATTGAACCTTGTACCAAAATTATCCCATAAACACTATCGTTAAATCAAAGAGTATAAGTCCATCAGTGAAGAGTTTTTACCTAAAGGATAGTGCTGTTATGAAGAATTATCTATGAATATAAATGGATCAAAAAAGGAATCTGGGGGAGCTCTGGTGGCCTAGTGGCAAGAAGCTGCAACTACAATCCCAGAGGTGCACGGTTCGAATCCACCAGATGCTCTGCCGGGGAAGGAGGGGCAATCTCCTCCTGTACCAATCAGATCTGATTTGACGGTAGATGCACACAAAAATAATAATTAAAAAAAAAGAAAAAAATTTTAAAAAAGGAATCTAAAGCACACAAAAACATCAAGGGCAAGGAACCAATTTAACGATGTTGAAACAATACGGGTTAAAAAAGGTAGTGGAGACACAATGGGAAGTATATAGTTAGGGTTATTGAAATATTTATGTAGAAATTATGAATACATTTGTTACATGATTTATTCTTGCCATCAAAAGAAAAAATAAAAATAGTTAAATGCATGGATGATTGATTGCACAAACAATATACTTTGTAAACTTTCATTCCAAATAAAAGGAAAAAGAGTGAATATTTAGTGATTCCCTGAAAGAGCAGGGGGGAAAATAGCATTCTCCAAAAAGCATTCTCCTAGAAGGTGGTATGCTTTTGAGAGCTAAAACATGACCGGGTCGTGTAAACCTAAAGGCTGTGGTAGAAAACCACAATCAAGGTATCTATAAAATCTTGATTTTTGTATGCTGCACCATCAAGTCAGAATAGATCCATAGGTGACCCTCCAGTGGGTTGTCGAGGCAGTTAATCTCCCAGGAAGAGAGTGCCTATCCTCTTCCATGGAGCAGCTCGTGAATTCAAACCACGTGCCTTCAGCATTGCAGCACCGCTTCCTGCCATGAGGCCACCAGAGCCTCCGTCTGGATAAAGACGGCAAAATTTAAGAAACGGAGATGCTATCCATAATGTAACTACCAATTGCTAGCATTAGAGCTTCGTATCAACAACAAGGGTAAAGGAAGTCTGGAAATTAAGATATGTTGCATTGGGGCACTCTATCGTCAAGGACCTCTCGAAAACATTAAAGAGCAATGATGTCAGCTTAAAGATTAAGGTGTGGCTGATCCAAGCCCCAGGCTTTTCCTTCCTATGCAATGACGTCCTATGCATCAGAAAGGTGGACAATGAATAAGGCTGTCAGAAGAATTGATACCTTTCCATGAAGGTGCTGGAGAAGAGTACTGAACGCCAAGTTGGGATCATGGACTTCCAAAAGAACAAACAAATCTACCTTGGGTGCTCTTTAGAGGAAGGAAGGTGACATTTTCATCTCTCATCCCATGGTTATGTTAGGAGGGTGAGTCCTTGGGAAAGGTCTCACGCTGCGAGTGGTGGAAAATCAGGAAGGAAAGACCCTCTGCCAGGGGGCCTGATACAGTACGGACCAAGGGCTCGGGCTTATCAGATAGTGCGGATGGAGGTGGACAGCGCAGCTGGGACGTGCTATTCATCGGGTTATTGGGTTGATCACAGTTGAGTTAACTCTATGGCACTTAACAAACAGTAGGGCTCAAAACAGTTTACTTGACAGCTACATCCATCCTGCTACACACAGAGACGTAAGAATCAAGAAGATATGGTGCAGCCACTGCGGAAGGCGGTGTGGCACTTTCTCAAAAAGTTGCGAATAGAAATACCACTGGACCCAGCAATTCTACTATGGGAATTTTCCCTAAAGAAACCATAACCGCCACCCAAGCAGATAAATGCACACCCATGTTTGTCACAGCTTTGTTCAAGATAGCAAGGAGTTGGAAACAACCTAAGTGCCATCCACAAACAAATAGCTAGAGAAGCTGTGGTATGTTCACACAATGGAATATTATACTGCAATGAAAAACAAGGAACTCATGAAATATTTTACCAAATGGGTGACCCTGGAGGACGTTATGCTGAGTGAAATATCTCAGTCACGAAAGGACAAATGTTGCATAGTGTCACTGTTGTAAAACGAGAATGACAGGGATTGAGGAAAGACTGAGAAAGAGGTGATAAACAGTGTATTTTGCATTGAAACTAATGAGGGAGAGAACTGTTTAAAAGGGATATGTGATTAGGTATTATTGTCATATTATTGTCATGACAGGAGTCCAGAAGGAAGGCTCCACAGTGGCATGGACCTGGGGGGAGGGTTTGTAAAACAATGAAAGAATTTTTCTTTTACTTTTCGAAGAGAAGAGCAAACTGGTGGTGGTGGGAAGGCTGGGCAGAGAGCAAAGAGCAACAATGAATGAGTGAAAATCCAAAGTCTATGTAAACTTCCATTAAAATTCATGAAAAAAGAATTGGAATGGGCAAAAATGGTAGAAGAGGACGCAGAAAGTTAAAATGAGTACTCACATTGAGCTTTCACAGGACCCAGCGGTATCCGAAAAGACATTTTCTAAACACAGCGTGAGTTTCTGCAAATTTTGGCAATGTGGTAGACAGTAGGAAGCGATCATTAACTCCACTGTGTATTCGATATGGATAGCAATTTCTCCAAAAATATCCATTGCTTGCATTACAAATCCTTTTTCCTGGGTTTCAAACAGACCATTGAACAATTCCTGGAAATCCAATTCTTCCTCTGCAAATTTGTACCGTTGCAGACTTTTTATACACCGCATTATTTCTTGTGAGAGTTGGACGTTCGCAGACATCCCCAGAATGTTGTTGATTTTTTCTGCTGAAAGCCCAAACACGAACAACCTCGTCTGGATTAAGTTGCTTTCAACTCGCCAGAGCCCAGTGAATATCAGCTTGTTGATGCAACCGATGGCTGGGTTATAGCTGTCGCTGGGTTCTTTCAGTAAATAAAACAGAGCCGCACAGAAATCCTGGATCTTTCGATGGATGAAAGTAATGCAGTCCCCGTTCCTTCGCAGAAGACTCACGCCTGACCAAGCCAATACGAAAGACTCGGGGACCCCATGCCTCCTGAAGTCCTTCAGGCTGAAGCGAGTGTTCTGAGTCCACACTCCCTCCGCAGCCAGGCGGCACAGACCTTTCACCTGAAGTATGTTCCGCTTCTGTGAAAAAGTCTTACTCCCTGCTTTCACGGTGTTGATGAAAAAGGTTGCAAACAAGGCCGTCCTTCTCTGGTAAGTGATGTGAAGATCTTCCCCCCTGGCCAGCTGCCATTTGAGACAAGAACAGATCAGCTGACACAAAAGTGGATTTTGACATAGAGCCAACAGAGCTCGGTTGCCTTTGACAAAATCGAAAGCGGCTCCGGCTTTCTTTGTCTCGGGGAAAAAATAGGAAAAGTACTTCTTGATGTCGAAAATGGTCAAGCTTGAGACGAAGAGCGATTTGGGGTGCTGCAATAGAAAACCGTGTCTTTTCACATTGTCCGGCTCCAAGGCGATCAGCAGAGAGGCGCCTGGAAGCAGTTTCTTCTGCAGCAAACTACTCAAAAGGATGTCTACTGGGAGCGGCTGCGTCCAGTCATCGCACGTGAAGTCCCCGGTCAAGTCACAGTTGAGCTCCTCCAGGTCGTCCAAGATGAACAGGATCTCCTGGGGCTGGGAAAGGATGTTGTCAATGGACTCTGAAGTCTCGGGCCAGTCTCTGGAGAACAGCTCCACCAAGCTCGTCTCTGCGACAGCGTTCAGCTCACGACCGCTGAAGAAGAAGACAAAGGTGAATCTGTCCTTGCAGAAGCTGCCCTCTGTCCATTCCAACATGGTTTTTCTCAAAAAGGTGCTTTTCCCAGTTCCTTCCGAGCCTCTTAGCAGCACTGTGACGGGCTCGCCTTGTGTCTCGTTCAAAGAGTAAACCTTTCTCAGCTCTTCAGACGCTTTCTTTATGGTTTCTTCGTAGAAAGCGTCAGGGACTGGGAGGCAAACCTCGTTTTCCCATATTAGCTGAAATTTTTTCCGCATGTGCTTTTTGTATGGGTTTAGGTTACCTGAGCCAATGAGGGCAGAAAAGAAAACATTAAAAAGACGCAGGCATTTTTCAAAAGACTTCTTGAAACTACCCCCTCAACAACAGCCAAAAACCCACCACTGCTATGAACAGATGTACAGAGACTAATCTGATGCTGGGTGACTAGATGAATTAATTTAATTAAAAAAAAAACCCTAACCAATTAATTAGACTAAACCAGGTTGATATCAAGTCTCATACGACATATGGTGACCCCACGTGTGTCCAGGTAGAAACAACTTGTCCACAAGAAGTCCGTGGCTACAACCTTTCAGAAGCGGAATCCAAGGCTTTTGTTGGCTGGGCTGCTGGATACACTTGCACAACTAGGGTTTTGTTTTGTTTTTTTTACAACCAGGGTTTTGATTATCAATATCTTGACTGGCAGCTGAGTATATTAACCGTGGGGCCGCCCTGGCATTTCACTTAGAACAGCAGCCTTCCTTAAATAATAGGCCTGGCAGCTCCTGACTCAAACGGAAATTTTTCTTTTTTTCCCCCAAGAGGCAAAGAGTACAAAAGTATGGCTATTGGGGAATTGCATATTAAATTGGAATGGGATGGTGTTATCTTCTCAGTAGAGAAGCCGTGTCTATGGGGTTGCTTTGAGTTTGGTTTTTTTTTCCCAATCTGGTTTTTGTTTTCTGCTGATTTGAGTGAATGTTTATGAAGATATCGGGGTTTCTCCACTCAATGATTGGTACACGTGCATAATGTGAACTACAGTGCCTGGAAAGAAAGACATCTAAGGAAGAATGGGTTTGGTGGAACAACAGTCAAGTATTTGGTTGTTCACCCCAAGTTTGGCGAGCCCAAAGTTGTCTCCGAGCAAGGATCTGGTGATGTGGACAGCAGCCAGGGAAATGCTCTGTGGCATCTCTTTGTCTCACGGAGCGACCATTAGTTGCTATCTTGTTGATACCTAGCAATGAGTGGCGCGTGCAGTTCCTTATACATGTTAGGTCAAATGAATGGACACCTCCAGTGATGGAATGCCCATTCACAAGACTTTGGGAGGCAAACAATCACTTCCCAGTCAGCTCCTTAAATCAAAGCGACTCATTCAGGACCAGAACCATGGGCAGACACTGTTTTTGAGCGAAGAGTTGGGGGTCACAACACCACCAACCCCAAGCCCATTGCTAGGCCATGTATGATAATCAGAGACAGTGCACAACTCTTTAGCCATGTCTAAGACCTCCACTGGCCAAAGGGGACACATATTGAACCGTGGGTGCCCATCGTCACCTTTCTTAACAGAAGCTTCTCGCAAACCAACCTTCCCACACGGGTTCCCACCCCAACATCACACACTCACATTTTATCTCTTTCTGAGCTTTCTTCCAGAGGTCTGTCCTTTGGAGCTGTTGAAAAATACTGAGTGTCACCTCCCACACCTGCTTCTCTGTGTAGAATTTGCCCAGCAACTTCACAAGATCTTCTCTTGACGCCCTCTTCAGTTCAGTCCAGGGGATGGACTTGAGTTCATGTTTCAGAGGTTCTTGCTTGAGAAGTTCCTTAAATTTCCAGAACTCGTCCTTTTTAAGCTCCTCCAGATACCACAATAAGCCAAAGTCAGAAAAAAATGATTCAGCCATCTTTTTTTTTTAGAATGGTATGTTCAGAATTCTCAGGAGGAAGAGGAAAAAAATCTTACAAGGAGCAAATATGACCTATGGACACAAAGAAACAATTATAAAGTTAACTATTAAGAGTGTAAAGTAAAACAACTATGAGATATCATCTCACCCCAGTCAAAATAGCAAAATTTAACAGAACAGCAAGCAACAAATGCTGGCGAGGTTGTGGAGAAACTGGAACCCTTATTCACTGTTGGTGGGAGTGTAAAATGCTGCAACCACTGTGGAAAGCAATATGACGCTGTCTCAAAAAGTTGCAAATAGAGATACCATTTGACCCAGCAATTCCACTACTGGGAATATACCCCAAAGAGACCATAACAGACATCCAAGCAGATATATGCACACCCATGTTTATTGCAGCTTTGTTCACAATAGCAAAGAGCTGGAAACAACCTAAGTGCCCATCAACAAACGAATGGATAGAGAAGCTGTGGTATATTCACACAATGGAATACTACACAGCAGTGAAAAACAAGGAACTCAAGAAATATTATACAAAATGGGTGACCCTGGAGGACATTACGCTGAGTGAAATCTCTCAGTCACAAAAGGACAAATATTGCATAGGGCCACTGTTGTAAAATGGGACTGACATCAGAGTTGGGGGGAAACTAAGAGGGTATAAATAATGTATACTGCATTGAAACAGATGAGGGGGAGAACTGTTTAGAAAGGACATATGAATGGGTTTTCTTGTCATTACACATGTCCAGAAAGTGGACTTGGGGGGAGGGATTGCATAACAATGAAAGAGGTTTTTTTTCTTTCCTTTTCAAGGACAACAGTGAATTGGGGAAGGAGGAGGGGGTGGACAGGGAGAAAAGTGCAGCAATAAATGACTGGAAACCCTAAGTCTCCGTAAACTTTCATTAAAATTAATAAAAAGAAAAAAAAAACAATGGGACTGACATAGGAGTTGGAGGGGAGACTGAGAAAGATGGGATGAATTATGTATACTGCATTGAAACAGATGAGAGAGAGAACTGTTTAAAAGGGATCTGTGATTAGAGATTATTGTCATGACAGGAGTCCAGAACGAAGGCTGCACAGTGGAGTGGACTTGAGGGGAGGGATCGTCTAACAAGAAAAGAATTTCTATTTTACCTTTCAAAGAGAAGGGCATACTGGAGAGGAGGGGTGGGCAAGGAGAAAAGTGCAGCAGTGAATGAATGGAAATCCAGTATCTCTAAATTTTCATGAAAATAATAATAATAATATAGAAGAAGAAGATATTATATCTAATTGTTTCACAACTGCCCAGAAGATCCAATCTTTCAAATAATGCGCTGAGTATTATTTTGCACAAAGAGAGTGAAAGTTGATGAAAACACTTCTTGACAACTGGCTCTGACTTGATGGTAGGAAGAAGACACTCTGCAAGGATGAAGGGCAGCCCCCAAGGAGCACGGTGGTGCGGTAGTGAATCACATGACTGCGAACGGGAAGGTCATTGGGTCAAACTTGGCCTCTTGGTGAGAGACAGATTACAGCCTTTGGGATTTTAGGGGGCGGGCAGTTCTCCTCGTCCACTTGAGCCAGCTCTGCATCGCCAGTTAGCATGACAGCAATGGCTTTGGCCTGGTCTGCTAACGCAAACTGTTAAATGTTTGCCTAGTGGCAAGAAGGTGTACTGCAATCCCAGAGGTGCACGGTTCAAATCCACCAGGTGCTCTGCTGGAGAAGGAGGAACAATGTCCTCCTGTACCAGTCAGATCTCATTTGATGGTATACACACACACAAAAAATAATAACATTTTAAAAAAATGTTTGACTATTAGCCGAAAGGTTGGTGGTTCTGACCCCCTTACAGATACTTTAAAGCCTTGGTGATTTTTTTTTTTTAATTTGCCACAGAAAACTCTGAATGGCTCTACTTTGATACCACCAGGTCTTGTTCCTGAGGGGCCACTGGGTAGACTGAAACATTCAACTTTCAGTTAACAGCTGAATGAATGAACTGATTGAACCACTGTCAAGGATGGAATTGTGTGTCCCCAGAATACATGTTTATAATATACTGTGGGAACTATAGAATAAACTCCTTTGATCTGATAAACCAAACAAGTGTAGGAAGATTAGGGAGAGTATAGCTTCTCCTAATCCTATGAGAGACCGAGTCCCCCAACGACCTGTAATACATTTTAGCTCACTGGAGAGAAAAGGAGAAGTGGTGAGCCAAAGTGAGCAGGGAGTGAGGGGGTTCTTAGCACCACGCAGAAAGAATTACCAGGAGTGGGGTGCACAGCTTTAGATCCAGGTCCCCTGGACCACGAAGCTCTTTGACAGAGGAAGGCCAGAATCAGGCCTATGGAGAGTGAAGGCAACCGGGACCGAGCTCCACGACAGAGACCCAGACAGACAGACAGACAGACAGACACACTGAGAGGGATACACAAGACACAGAGAAACATACAGACCCAGATAGAGTAACACACAGTCAGCCAGTGAGTGTTATCACCTGGAGTTCCATGTACTGGAGGTAAGATGATGCCTCCTTTGCTGGGAACCAAGGGGGACCCTGTGTAATCTGGTCGACCACCCTTTTTTACAGGCTTCTGGGTTTCCATTAACAGGAAGAAAGAGCTGTAAAGGCCTAGCCCTCTCCACCTGTTCCCACAGCCTCAGACTGCTTGACCTGAGATTGTTGTTGTTGTGTGCGGTCTAGTCTCTTCTGACATGTAGCAACGTGATAAAGGGGAACGACCCCCATGATCGTCTTAACTGAAATCACCATGTGTTTCTCCTGCGGGGCCTCTGGGTGGGCTAACAGCTGAGCTCTGACCCCACAGGACTCCTACTTGGACCAAAACATAGTCGGCAGACGCCGAGTTCCCTGCGGCCTTTTTAAACACCGACTTCTCATTTCTCACACTGCTGTTCGGATAGCCTCATTTCTGTCTGCCAACACCTCGCCAGCTTTTGTCGATTGCCTTGGCTCCTTTGTGCAGATTTTATCATCTGGGTCATTCTAGGAGTCCCCGAGAGGCACTGTTAGGCTACTAATTGAAAGGTTTACGGTTCAAGTACATCCAGAGGTGCCGCCTAGGAAAAAAAGCCCCAGAGTACAGTTCTTCTGATTTGACACATACAGAGTCATCAGGAATCAATCAACTCCATGGCAAGTGTTCTTGGATTGTCTCACTCTATAAATAGTCCCAGGATCATAGAGTCTAAGTGCTAGACCCAAAGTCACTGACACGCCACTGGGGAGCCCTGTGGGTTCACTGTGTGAAGGATTAGGTGGCTAACCCCTGGAGGTCAGCAGTTCAAATCCAGCAGCAACGCTTAGGAAGAAAGAGAGGCCAGCAGTCCACCCCATCCCCTAGGACAAGATTCCCAGCCGGGAAGCAGGTGGGAGGGCGCTCTGGGTCGGACCCACTCTACAATAGTGAGTGGGTTTAGGAGGACTGATGACTGCCTGCAACTTCTAGATGGTGAATCATTTTAACGCCAATTAGTCAGAGCACCACGCTCCAATGCCGTTCCATTTTACCTTTCTCTTTCGGGTTAAATTTTCTATCGTTCACAACCATTCTAAAAAGACTTGTCAAGAAAACCTTGGGTGAAATGGTTGCATCATTTCTGCGGCACAGGTGGGCTTTTATAAGAGCTCTTTATACCTGTGGGAGGGAGTATAACCGACCCGCAGACCTTAAAGGCTTTGTGGGAGCAGGGTCAAAGGGTGCTTCACCCCCACAGGAGAGGCTGGTGGGTCTGAACCCATAAAATTTCAAGTAGTGTAACCCCTGTATCTCCCCCACGATCCCAGGAGGTGAAGGGAGCCTCCACAGCCTGACAGAGCCCCAAGCTCTCTCTTCTCAACTCAAAGTGCCTCCTAGCTGACCCTCCAGTGGGGATTCAGAGGCTGGAAACGTCACAGGAGGAGACCGCCATCCTTCCCCCACGAGGCAGCTGGTGGCTTTGAACCACCCGCCTTTGGCTTGGCAGCACCAGTCCTCACTAGGCCCCCCGAGTCCCCTCTCACTCCCACAGCCGTCTGAATCTAGAGTGGGAAAGCACGGTGGCCACAGAAGAAGAATCGGTTGCACAAGGGCTCTGCCAAGCTCAATCTTGACCAAAACCCAGACGGAACTGCACTCTTTCTACTTCTCCCCGTCCTATAACTTGTCACGAGCATCGAGGGGGACGTGAAAGAAAGAAAGGCATCAGCGAGAAGACTTGCTCACCCAATCTGGCCCCCTTTTCCTCCAGGAAGGGGTAGCTGTGGATGCCAGGGCTACAAAGACTGGAAGGCCTTGATTGGTGCCAAGTTTCTTCCTTTATTCTGACCGGCAAGGCTCCTGACGACTAGTGGAAGCGGGCAATGTGAAACTGCTTAACCTTGATTTCTTTTCTGTCCTCAGGTGTAAACGATCTCCCTTCAGGCCTTGCTGGAAGCGTCCATCGGGGCCACGCTGCTGCTGGTGTCAAGAATGGGGAGCTCTGACAGTGCTCCCTCTGATCCCCCAGCTGCTCTGTGGGAGAAGGATGGGCGGTCTCCTCCCGTGAGATTTACTGCCTCTGAAAACCCGCTGGAGCGTCAGCTAGGGGTCGGTTCCGACTGGCACTCAACAGCAACAACTATATTCATTGCAAAGGAGGCCAAGTGAATAAGGAGCTGTGCTGCCAACCCGAAGGCGAGCAATTCAAAGCCTACCTACCTCCCAGTTCTCGGGTGAAAGAGGGCCAACCTCCTCCCACACGAATTACAGCCTCTGAAAACCTGCGAGAGGCTCGGCTACGAGCTAGCTGCGACTGTACAGCACAGAGTGTGTGAGAGGATAGTACTTACCCGAGGGCGTCTGCTAACAACCTTACCTACTCCCCACAGCCAGTAAGAATCCAGCAGACCGTACCACGGCTGCGGTCCGGCTGGGAGTCCCAAAGCAGTCCGGTGTGCCGGAGCAGAACGGAGCTGGACAGGATTTTCAGTGGCTGGGAAAGA